ATTTAATTATTATAAATATATAGAAATTAAGTGGCTATTAATTAAAAATTATTCAAATTAAAAGGCATACTCCACAAACGTAGGATCTTGCGAATTTATATTTTATTCTTAACAAATATAGGTAATAAATATTTCGGTCTCGATCAGATCTTTTTCAGTATACGTAACATGTACATATAACATAAAAGTGACTGTCAATTTTAATAGAATTAACTTTGGAATATTCATTCTCGGTTCACGATTTGATCATCTTGAATAATAGAATATCCAGGACGCAGAATCTCAAAATTTTGCGTCTAATACGAATTGAGGATCTTTCATATTTTATAGAACAACAAGTGAAGAGCAAAGAATTTGACATGGAAGTAACAAAGAAAATTATCTCGCCGAAAAAATTTATCATTACTAACAAATGTTTTGCGACTAACAAATTTTATGTAACATTGAAAATTTGACTTGCATTTAACCAATTTTATGTATGACTGCGCGACTTTATTGTGTAGATAATTATTTTGATTTTTTATTTTTGATTATTGATTATATTATGTATACTAAAGAAGACCTGATCAAGTCCGAAACGTTTATTACCTATATTTGTTAAGAATAAAATATAAGTTCGCGACAAAGATTCTTTGTGGTGTATGCCCTCTAATAATGCCCTCTAATTTGAATAATATAATATATAAAATTTAATTATTACCTGATGACAAAATAAAGTAGATATAGCATTAATAAAATTCCGCAGATATTAATTATAGTCATTTTTCTTAATTATTTAATGAGGCCTGTAATTATAATATATAAAATTAATATGTTACAAAGCTATTGGAACAGTTTTTTTAAATATCATTGATATGATAGTACATAATATTTGTTTTACAGGGGGTGTGGCACATTCCGGTTAATGAAATTGACAGACCTGGAAGCTTTGCTTCACATATGTCGAAATGTGTGACGTTACTCATGCAAGTATTAAAAGAGAGTAACGACAGTAAAATGTTAATGCAATTGTGCATACAGCTTGGAAAAATTCCAGATTCAGACAAGTAAAATTAATTAAGAATATTTATAAAGTAAAACTTAAACATCATCATTCATTCTTCTGTTAATAATATTACAGCAAGACAAAAATCGTGCGATAAGAGAAAATGAACAATATAAATAATACATAACTTTTTTTATATAATTTTAATACAATCTTTTTCTGCATCTAGGAAATACTTGCGTGATTCTGAGAGAGAACAATTATCCCGACAAGCTTTGACACTTTGTCAACAGTCGCTCAGAAGCAGAGTTCAGACAATGGGCTCGACAAGTACAATCGACAGTGTACACCACATTAGAACAGACGCTAGAACACAAGTATTACTTGATGTATACGAAACATATCAACTTGTCCAGAAACATTTTCAAGGCAAAGAGTCAACTATACAAATGTTTGCAACATTGTTAACAGATACGTATAAAATGTATATAGGAAATAAAGTAAGTAAATCTTATAGAAAAATATTTACTATATTTGTACCAATATTCACAGACGAAATTTATGTTTTCTATACGAATACTTTGCACATAGCATAAAACATAAGCTTATATACCTTCTTATCTCTTATCTTTTAATTTCTTTTTCATTTTTTTTGTCATACACTTGCGCAACTATTATAATTCATCATTAACATGCAATTGTTAATATTCAATTATAAACATTAGTGAAATAAAACACGTTTATTAAAGATAATATTATTATTATAGAAAGCTATATATGAAGGTTATATATGAATATTTACGTTGTAAGAAAAACCCTCTTTTTAAGGAGCTAACTAATGAATTATTAAATATATAAATTATCATTTTTTATCTGTATTGCAGTATTCATACGATATTATAGAATATTACTTTACATTGGAAGATATCTTTTTCAGTTTTAAATACCATTTGTTATAAACTATCATTTCTTATTGTATTTATAATAATTACTGGATAAAAATCATGACATTTCAAAAATTGCGCTGTATATTGCTTTCTAGAACTTGGAAGGAAATGTTTTGGAGATTGCTATTAAGTGTTGTCAACGTCAGATACAAGCAAACAAACTCGCATCTATTAATAATAGTAATAGTTCTCACGTGCCACCACAAGTTGCCTCTACTATTTCGGTAAATAAATCATCTTATTATCTCAAGTCTTCAGTTCTCAATATATAATTTAATTATTACCAAATTAATATTTTCAAATTAATGTCTCGTTGCAGGCACCCACACCACAAGTGCCGGTGAATTCAACGTCCCCGCAAACATTGCAGAATCGCAAACCGCACAGAAATTTGACATCTACCGGACGTCCGAGAGGACGTCCACCAAATGTTAATAAATACTTGCAACATGCTCTGCAACAAAGTGGCAACATGATGAATCAGTTCAGTTCCAAGAGTAACTTTGCGAATTACATGAGTGCATCCGGACCAAATCGTTCTCTGATAAATCCTTATTTCATGAATCCGTTAGTTGACGCAAACATGTTATCGGCTTTACTAGCTAGCGGACTAAACAGCAATATGATGGATCCTCTAACGGCTATGACCTATTTAAATCAAGTAGGAAGTTATCAAGATATCCTCAGGCAATATCAAAATAACTTATCGTCATTGACCAATCTTGCTAGCGGTTTAAATAATCCTGGTTTAAATAACCCTACCACTATAACCAGCATGAGCAATGTTTCGACAATGAGTACATCCAGTTCTAATATCAATACTTCAAGTAACATTGCCAATTTAAATAGTCTAAAAGGTTCCTTAGATCCTATGACAGCATCAGTGCAACAATTACTGAGTTTAAGTAATTCTACAGCATCAACTTCGCGACCGGCACCCATGTACCATCAAGCGACGGCCAAGACTAGCACAACTATGTCACTAACGAAAGATCGACCTAATATATCTATAACACCAGTTAGCACTTCGATGAGCCAGCAGCCTCATCACAAAACGTCGAAGCCGCCCAGCAAACAACCAAGCTCACAAACTGAGCCAGTGTTACCCGTCCACATTCCTAAATCGCTTCAGATATCGCCAACGAAACCGGTATTACACTCGTCGAATACGACGGCGCAAGTATCCTTGCTCAAACCATCCATTATTCAACAGGTGAAGAGCAGTCCACCTAAACAGATGACCGCGCCGCAGATACGAGTCTCAAAATCCTTGACTGAGCCGCAACCTGCGCACAATCCATCGTTGTCGCATTCGCCTTTGAAGAATAGCGGTAGTACCGTAACTACGAATCCGACCGCAACCATGTCACACGTCTCCCACACTTCCATGGGTGCGCCCGTGATCATGAAACAACAGCAAGCATTACCCATGAATTTACCGAATGTATCACGTTCTGGTACGTCATTACAGCATAAATTATTGTCGAAAAAGAACTCGCGACCTTACTCAACGCAAACGAACGTTCAGAATCATCCTGTGAGGAAAGCAAAGACAGCTAAAACGGCGGCGATGTCAATGCCGATGTCTAGCAATTTTCCAAACCTGTTAAATGCAATGCCATCAGCAAGTTCCGTCACGATGCCGCAACCGCCTTTTATACCTCCAGAATTAAGCGGTATTTCGGTGAGTGCCATTGGTTCACAATCTGTTGGTATTAAGACCGCGGCTGCAGCTGCGGCCGCTAAGTATCATAGCTACAAGAAATCTATCAGCAAGCCGAAATCAACTATAACACCAGCGATAGAGGTGCCAAGCTCGTTACCGGCTTCATTTTCTTCCGGCAGTTCAGTCGAGGCACTCTCGATGCTATCACAATTACAACAGCACTCTCACCTGGAAATAATACCGCAACAGAAGGCGCCGTTGAAGTCAAACATTGATTATAAAACTCTTTCATCTTCCGTAAATGTGGTGCCATCGAAAGTCCCAGAGACCTTAAGATCGTCGACAACTGCCGACTGTATATCTATGTATGATCTACCTAGAGGAAAAACTACTAACGTTTCAAACAAAAAGACACAAGATAAGCTCCTTACTGATAACGTCGAAATTATAACATTAGACGATTAAGAATCGCTCAAATAAGTCACGAACGTTTGTTGCGATTATTTTGCGTAATAACTTTTCAAGGACTACTTGCAGTTATCTGCTCGATAATGTTAATTCCTTGCAATGGAATGACAAACTATATTCGCGCAATAGCGATATTGTTTTAGCGGAAAATTTTACAAAGTTATTTTAGCTTAGGTACGGGAAAATAATTTCGGAAAATTTTTCGTTAACTGAGTTATGTGTTTTATATGCATTTCGTATAAACTCGACTTCTAATTATTAAATTATATAAAAATGCATAAACCAAATATATGTAAAGTTTAACGAATTCCAATATCATGAATTGATTAAGTGAGGCTGATTTACGTAATATTTATGAAATTTATTTTTCTTTAAAATTTTTATATATTAGCAAGAAATTATAATTATTTGCGACATGTACATTGTCTTTTGTATATATAAGTATTATATTATTATGTTTCTTCATTGTAAAACTTTTTGGTTCCAATATGAATGAAAGATTATTCTGTAACGCTTTAATTAGTCATATTTAATTATACTTAATTATACTTAATTTTTTATTAGAAAATAGTGTATAAATATTGTAAGACACATAAATTTATATATTAAAGTCGATCATTCTTTTTTATAATTTTTTCGTATAACTCTGACTAATTTTTCATTACTTGAGAATCAATCACATAACTTTTTTCTTGAAAAGGCGGAAACGTGAAAAATGAAAATTTTTTATGTGTATGTGTATGTAGACACATATATAAAAATTTTCACTTTTCATATTTTCGCTCTAGAGAAAATATGAATTTATACAATCGATATTCTGGTTAAGGGCCTTAGCAAAAAGATGATCCTAACCAGATGATCGTAACTGATTGTCAATTACAGTCATTTTTATGCTTAGATCCTATTCATTTCGATTTAGACTTAACCTCATTAAACTTAATGATAGTGTAAAAATTATATTTTTCTTGCTATAATCATTAAACTAATGATTTTGTAATAGCAACTTTAAAAGTTATTCACAAAACAATTAAGATAGATGACAAAATATAATTTTTACATTATCATCAGGTTAAGGTTAACCATAAATTAATGAAAAACTGGACCTTAGAGGAATATACAATGAAACTTCAGTCTATATACTTTGTAATATTATTAATCATAAGATATTAAATTTAAAGGTAAATAACTCAAACTTTATATTATTTAATTATGAAGTTTCAATTATATGTACCTCTCACTGATTAAAAATATTAATTTATATTATTATATTCACCGACAAACGCATTGCTTTTTCACTAATTCTACAAACGCATTGCTTTTTCACTAATTCTAAAGCATTTTTGCATAAGGAAATATTATTTTTCTACCGTATGTTTGATAATGATACTTTTTTCTACATGTACAATAATCTTATGTAATTAACTTCAGTAAACTTGAACGTTTTATAAATATAATTTGTGTGTGTATAACTTACCTCTGATATTAAGAGGATATTTAAAATTACCGTCTTATCTATTGTTCGTTGTTATCCGTTGCTATTTTCGTTTCAATGTTTGTAAATTTTTTTCTTTTTTATATACCTGTTTTATATACCTGAAAAAAAATATGTGACGATAAGGTAATAAGATTCCTTGTGAAAACGCAACTGTATTTAAATATTTATTGTTTAATTTGTCTTATTTTATTAATGAAAAAATAATACTTTTCAGAGGCAATGTTTAAAATTTTTTATTTATTAGTATCAAATTTAAATATACATAAATTTTCATAAGTGCTTTTAAATAGCGATTTTTTGATTAACAACCTTTATAATTTTTATTTTTTAGTGCTTCGACTAATTTAAACATATTGTCTGGAACTCCACGCACTTCTAGGCCTTTTATCGCAAATACAGCACCGGCTTGAGAATCCAGGTTTTTATCTAAAGTAGTGTTCTTTATCTAAAGTATAACCAGCTGTGGTCACAAAGTACAAAGTATCTAGAAGCGGAACGTAGTACTTATTACGTTTTCAACTGGAAGCTCGACTTTACATAATACAGTTCCTGTCCTCGGTCTCACGCCAATTACCTAATCAATCATTTTC